AAAAAAAAGACAAATTATTTACATCCTGCTTTATTTCAAAAACCCATAAAACAAACAAATATTTGAGATATTAAATTCAGGTCAAATCAAGTTTGGTTATTTGTTGACTGAGAACCGGTATCAATTTTTTGGAGAAAAATTACTATTGAGGTGCTTTTTCTTTTCAGTGCTGGGGAATAAAACCCATAGCCTTGTACATGCTAAGTAAGCACCCTACCACACTGAGCTACATTTACAGGGACATTTTTTAAAAAGTATTTTAAGAGTTCAGTACTGGAATCTTGGAATCTTTATATGAAACCATATGTGCTTAGTTTAATTTAGAATAATCTGAGGATGAGGTGAGGCAGTAGTTGGGTTTTTGACTGAAATAATAGTGGCCACAGTTCAGTGACTTCCATAACCGATGGTAGATGCATGGAATTAATTGTGTTAACTACAGAGTAGTTACTTTTCTGTTGCTGTGAAAAAAAAATACCTTTGCTGTGCCGGGTGTGGTGGTGCACGCCTTTAATCCCAGCATTTGGGAGGCAGAGGCAGGTGGATCTCTATGAGTTCAAGACCAGGCCAGCCTGATGAACATTCTGCCCTGGTAGAATCATAGGTGTTTTATTTTGACCTTTTCTGTTTTTCCAAACTTACTGCAACTACTTCTGAATGTTTTTTAAATTTTTATTTAAGTGTATGTGTATGTATGTCAGGTGTTTTGCAGGTGCTGTCAGAGGCCAGAAGAGAGTGTTGATTTTCTTAAAGCTTGAGTTAAAGGTGGTTGTGAGCTGCCTGATGTGAGTACTGGGATCTGAACCCAGGTCCTCTGGAAAAGCAGCAGGTGCTTTTAACTGCTGAGCCATTCTCCAGCCCATTCTTACTTCTGAGCTTTTAAAAGAAAATGTAGCACCAACAAAATGGCTCAGTGGGTAGAGGTGCTTGCTCCACAAACCTGGCAGCCTGAGTTTGATCCCTGGAACCAATGTAAAGGTGGAAGAAGAGACCAAAAATTATCTGACTTCCACAGGTGCACTCACCCCACCCCCCAGTAATAAATAAAAATGTTAAGTTGAACTTTTAGAACAGCACTGCCTAAATTCCATTACGTTCTGTAAACACAAGTTTTATTGGTGTTGAAAGGTAGTTGATAATACAGTACACACTATAGAGACTTAGCATGTGAAGAGCACCCACTCACTAGCCAAGGCAGTCTATTTTTTCCTTCCTCCCTGCCTTTCAGTGTGGGGATCAATCCCAGGGTGTGGAATATGCAAGCTACCACTGAGCACCACCCCTAGCCGCCTAGTTTTGGTTTTGATCATCCTATTTTTTCTTTAATTTAAAAGTATTGGCCGGGCGTGGTGGCACATGCCTTTGATCCCAGCACTTGGGAGGCAGAGGCAGGTGGATCTTTGTGAGTTTGAAGCCATTCTGGTCTACATAGTGAGTTCCAGGACAGCTGGGGCTACAAAGTAATTTAAAAAAATGTTTACCTACATAGAACATGGGGGAGGTAGTCCTGTCCTTAATCCTATCATCCTGAGAGAGGAACTGTTTTAACTAAAGCTGTCATTATTTCCAGAAGTATTTTTATCACTTTTGACTCTCATTCAGTTATTTATTGTACTGTGTGGGTGGATCTATGTGTATTTTCGCCAGAGTGTCATCTGCAGTGGTATTGTGAGCAGAAATACCTAAATATTCATTCCTAAAGGCAACAAGCATAGAAGGATTTTGTTTGTTTTTGAAACAGGTCTCATGTAGCCCAGCCTGGCCTCAAACTTGATAACAGAGTAGAGGATGACTTTGAACTTCTCATCCTCCAACTTTTACCTCCCAAGTTCTGGGATTATAGGTATAAAATGCTTGGGTAAAATGCATGGCTTCATGAATTCTAGGCAGACATTCTACCAATTGAGATACATCCTTAGACTTGCATATAGGGTGTTCTAGTTTGGTTTCTCTCGTGCTGTGATAAACACCATGTCCAAAAGCAACCTAGGGGAGGAAAGGATTTATTGCATTTTATACTTCCAAGTGATAGCCCATTCATTGATGGAAGTTAGGGTAGGAACTGAGACAGAGACTATGGAAGAATGTTGCTTACTGGCTTGCTCCCTCCTCCTGGCTTGCTCAGCTACTTTTCTATACTGTCCAGTCCCCCCTGCCTGGGATGGCACTGCCCACAGTGGGCTGAGTCCTACATCAATTAACAATTTAGAAAATGCCTCATAGACATGCTACAGACTAGTCTGTTGGAGGAAATTCCTCAGTTGAGGTTCTCTCTTTCCAGGTGTGTCAAGTTGACAACTAACTAGCATATAGGATTTAAGAAAGAGGCATAAGCTTTTTTCTGAAACTATATTAGGAACCTATAACCTAAACAATGTAAATTTGTTTCAAGGATGAATATCAAAATCTAAACTATGGCTTTCAGCATTGATGGATAAAATCCATTTTCAGAAGTCTCTTGGGGCCAAAAATGTAAGAGTGCTTGCACAGTGCTTACATTGTGGTCAGGTAGGACTACCTGTAACTCCAGCTTCAGGGAATCTGCTCCCTCTTCTGGCCTCTGCAAGCATTGCACACACATGCACACACATGTAGACATACACTGATAAAAATAAATCTTGCTGGGCATGGTGGGACATGCCTTTAATCCCAGCACTTGGGAGGCAGAGACAGGAAGATTTCTGTGAGTTTTAGGCTATTCAGGTCTAGTTTTAGGCCAGCCAAAGCTACATAGTGAGATTGTCTCAAAAAATAATTAGAAATAAAAATAAATATTTTAAAAATGCCTTTTAACCAGGTGTGGTAGTTAAAATGATCTCAGCCCTTGGGATATTGAAACAGGACTGTCAAAAGTTCAGGGCCAGCTGGGCTACATAGTAAGAGTCTGGCTTTAAAAAAACAAAACAAACAAATAGGACTAAAAGTGTGGTTCAGAGATAAGATTGCTTGCTTTGCATGAGTGAGACTCTGGACTCTAGTCTAGTTCCATTCCCAGCACTGTAAAACAACAAATACAACGAATACATACCCAAACCAACAAATACATAAAGATTGTCTTAGGTGGGCCCTGTGGTGCACACCTCTAGTTCCAGCTATTCGGTAGGCTGAAGCAGAAGGATCCCTGGAAGCCAGGAGTGTGAGGCCTGCTTAGGCCATCTTCTCTCCTGAAAGAAGAGCTAAGGAAAAGAGGAAGAGAGTGACGGAGGCAAGGATTCCAGGACTGAGTTATTACTGCTTATATATTTGACTTAAACTGAGGATTGAGTTCTGATTTATTGATACTTTTAACATTTGGAAGTTACAGACATGTTCAAACTCCATATTAAATATCTAAAGCTAAGCTTCAGACCCATCGTAGTGGCACAGTCCTATAATCTCAACACTTGGGAGGGAAAGTACCTGTATCCAGAAAGGGAGGGAGAAGATGAGGGGAAAAAATACATGAATCTTGATTAGATCCTGGGTCAAAGATAAATGTAATAGTGTAACTCTTAGAGCATTTGCAAAGATTGAATATTAGATGTTAATGAGATGTTTTAAATTTTTTCTTAGTGTGATAATAGCTTGTGGTTTCATAAAAGTATCTTTACTCTTTTAGATGTATGCTGAAATGCTTAGAGACAAACAAATCATGGGTGGTATGGGACTGGAGAGATAGATTAAGAGCACTTGCTGCTTAAATCATGAGAACCAGAGTTCAGGTCCCAGCCACCCGTGTTTGGTAGCTCATAAATGCCTATAACTCCAGCTCTGAGGGATCTGATGCCCTCTTCTGGCCACTGTGAGCACCCTCAAACTCACACGTGCACACACGTAAATAATAATAAAAAGAAATCATGGTTAGCATATACCTGTAACCCTAGCACCTTTGGGAAATAGAAGAAGTAGTACAAAGGAGTTTGAAGCTTGCCTGGGCTGTGTAAAGCATTGTCTGAAAAATAAACGGGGCTGGAGAGAGGACTTGGATTGGCTGCTCTTGCAGAGGACCTGGGTTCAGTTTCCAATAGCCACATGGCAGCTAACAATCATCCATAACTCCAGCTCTAGGGAATCTGACACCTTTTTTGGCCTCTGTAGGCATTGCATTCATGGGTGCACTTACATACATGCAGGCAAAGCACTCATACACATAAAACTAAAACAACAGCAAAAACCAACTTATGCTGGGTCTGGTGTATACCTTTAATTCTAGCACTCAGGAGGCAGAGACAGGCACATTCTTGTGAGTTCAGGGCTAGCCTGGTCTACACAGAGAGAGACTATATCAACCAAAAAAAAATTACATATGGTGTGCATGTAGGCACATGATACTGTGTATGTATTTGTAGCTTAATCAGAGGGCACCATGTGGGGTCCAGAGATCAAACTCATACCATCATACTTGCCTGTAAATGCCCTTACCTGATAAGCCATCTCATTAGCTCCCAAAAGATTTTTGTTTTTATTTTGTTTGTTTTTTTAGATAGGGCCTTACTGTGTAGCCCTGGCTGGCCTAGAACTCTTGCTTTGTAGACCAGGCTGGCCTCAAACTCAGAGATCCATCTGCCTCTGCCCCTTGAGTGCTGGTATTCAAGGCAAGCACCAATGCACTTAGCAATGTTGAAAAAAATAATTTATGGCCAGGCTGGTGGCGCACACCTTTAGGCAAAGGCAGACAGATCTCTGTGAGTTCAGGGCCAGTTGGGGCTACAGGGAGACCCCATCTCAAAAAGACAGAAAAAAAATTATGTGAAATATATTTTTTATATATTTTTACTTTCTTTAATGTAATGGAATGAGCAGTGTGGTAAGGATAGAAAGAAATTTCTAGTCAGCTGCAGAAAAAGAATAACCTTTAGGGTTGGTTGGTTTGCTTGTTTGCTTGGATTTGGGGATGGACCCCAAATCCTTGTGAAAAAATGTTTTGTAGTACCTCGTTGGAAAACTGTTCTTTCTAGGCCAAGAACTTAACACTAGGAAAGAAATACCCGTTTCTTATTTCTGTTTCTTTTTCAAACCAGCACAATAGATTTGTCCTGGACTGTAAAGACAAAGAGCCTGACGTACTGTTTGTGGGAGATTCCATGGTGCAGCTAATGCAGCAGTACGAGGTAAAGGTGGGAAGGGCAGGGTGCTCTTGGCTACTAGTGATTGTCCTCTGGTGACTACTGTCTTTGATTCTGAGTTGACCCCCAGACTTCAGAGTCATGAAAATCTCCAGCATAGAGTAAAGGGAAACTGACCTGTGCTATTCTTGGTGCTGTTGAGCAAGGTAAACGAAGAGAAAATTAGTGTTGTTTATGACTAAACTCCTTTTTTGCTCTGGCTTCCAAGAAACATGATGTTATGTATGCCTGGTTGTGATTTTTTATTTTTGCTCATTTATCTTTGTCCTACTCAAGGGTCTCACTTATTTTTGTTCTGCCACTTTCTGACTTGATACATATTTTTTAATGAGCTGTTCAAATCTTTCTTTTAGGGTTAGGCATTTTATTGGGGAATCAAAATATAGTTGTATTACTTTTCTTTTGGGAGGAACCTCCAACATACTAAATTTGTTGTTTTATTTTGGTTTTTGAGACAGAGTCTCCCCTGTAGCCCTAGCTGGCCTGGAACTCGCTATGTAAATTCAGCTAGTCTCAATCTCACAGAGATCTGCCTCCCTTTGCCTCCTATCACTCTAAATTTCTTTGTTTCATATTTATTTATTTATTTTAAAATATTTTATTTATTATTTTTACTTTATGTGTATGAGTGTTCCACCTGCATGTATGTGAGTGCACCTGTGTTGTGCAGTGCCATGGAGGTCAGAAGTCAGCTTTGGATTCCCCTGGAACTGGAGTTAAGGACAGTTTGTAGGCACCATGTGGGTGCTGGGAATCGAACCGAGGTCCTCTGCAAGAGCAGTCAGTGCTCTTAACCGCTGAGCCATCTCTCCATCCCCCTTTTCATATTAATTTTTTTTCCATATTTATTTTTTAAAGTATTTTATTATTTTTATTTTTTATGTGTATGTGTGTATTGCCTGCATGTAGGTAGGTGCACCCGTGTCATGCAATGCTCGCGGAGGTCGGAAGAGGCTGTCGGATCCCCTGGAACTGTAGTTACAGACAGTTGTTAGCTGCCATGTGGGTGCTGGGATTCAAACCCGGGTCTTCTGCAAAAACAGTGTTCTTAACCACTGAGCCATCTCTCCAGCCCCTCATTTAATACTTCTTCTTCGCTCTTTTTTGAAAAAGAGAGTTTATTGAGTTAACAGCTTGATTTAAGATGTTACTATCTCTAAATGGGCAGGAGAATGGGCTTTGGCAGATCTTGAGCTGAGACCCAGTGTTGCATTGAGAACTGAGTCACAGCACAGTGGCATCTTTGAAGCCCTTTAGGTGAGTGGCATGTATACCTTTTTCAGTGTGTTGACTTTTGTTTTTGTTTGTGTTTTTGAGGCTGTGTCATGCAGTGCCCACAGAGGTCACAAGAGGGTGTTGGATCCCCTGGAACTGGAATTACGGACAGTTGTTGGCTGCCATGTGGGTGCTGGGAATCAAATCCAGGTCCTCTGCAAGAGCAGCCAGTGCTCTTAACTACTGAGCCATCTCTTTAGCCCCCTTTTTTGGTCTTTTTTGAGACAAGGTCTCCCTGTAGCCACAGCTGGCCTGGAACTCACTATGTAGACCAGGCTGACCTGGATCTCACAGAGAGCTGATCTCTGGTGCTAGGACTAAAGGGGTATGCCACCACACCCTGCTCAGTGTTGGTATTCGAATAGAGAAAGTGGAAATGTCTCAAATCACATTGCATTTGAAGGATTTTATCTCCTGATGATTTTAGCTTAACTAAGTTAAGTTTTTTTCTTTTTAGATATGGCGAGAACTATTTTCCCCACTTCATGCACTTAATTTTGGAATTGGAGGAGATACAACAAGACATGTTTTATGGAGATTAAAGAATGGAGAACTGGAGAACATTAAACCTAAGGTGAGGTGAAACTTTTTTTTGGTCTTTTTGAGACAGGGTCTCCCCGTAGCCCCAGCTGTCCTGGAACTCACTATGTAGACCAGGCTGGCCTTGAACTCACAGAGATCTGCCTGCCTCTGCCTCCTGAGTGCTGGGATTAAAGGTGTGCGCCACCACACCCGGCTGTGAAACTTATTTTTAAAAAGACTATCATTAATTTTTGAAACTCTCAAATTGTTAAATTGTTTTAAAAGTAGTGGAAAAAGATGCTTTTTCTAAAAAAGCAATTGGTTCTTGAATTTCTATTTATGTATGTATGTGTATGAGTATTATGCCTGCATATATATTAAGTACACCTATGTCATGCAGTGCCTGCAGAGGGCAGATTCCCTGGAACTGGGGTTATGGACAATTGCTAGCTGCCATGTGGGTGCTGGGATTCGAACCCAGGTCTTCAAGAATAGCCAGTCCTCTTAACCACTGAGCCATCTCTCTAGCCCCCAAAGTTGCTTTGTATTTATTTTTAATATTTTTATTATTATTTTAATTTTATGCGTATGAATGTCTGACCCTGGTCTTTAGACTGCTGAGATTAAAAGGCCTTGGTGACCACACCTGACTCTCATTTGACCTTTGATTATTTCCTGACATATGTGCTGTCTTAGGCAGGACTCCCAATGTTTTTATTACAATATAAGACATCAGAAAAGAGTAAAGATCATAAAAGTATCTTGATGAACAATTAATTAATTAATTTATTTATTTATTTATTTTTGGTCTTTTTGAGACAGTTTCTCCGAGCCACAGTTGACCTGGATTTGCTATGGAGAGCAGACTGGCCTCAAACTCAGAGATTCACCTGCTTTTGCCTCCCAAGTGCTGAAATTAAAGGCATGTGCCACCACGCCCAGCAAAAGTTGCTTTTAAAAGGACTATTTTATTTCTCTTTGCTTCATGCTTCTTTAAAGGAAAATGATATTGTCATTGCTTAGAAATACACTAAAATACATATTCAAGAAAGAATCCAGCCTGTTGTTGTTTGGGTTATGTTTAATTGTTAGGATGATTTTCTTGGGTTGCACGAAGTATTTGGATGCTCAGGATGTACCCGGTTATTTGGAATGTGTGGACCTGGGACAATAGGAGGGGAAACTGTTCAGAGTAGGCTGTAGGAGCAGGGCCAGGATTTACTTCAGGAAATACTTTGGATCTGTTTTACCACACAAATGTGTAATCAAGTCGTTTGAGTTCTTGTGAAGAACGTTTGGTGCCAGTGTGGACAAATGAACATCTGTAACCTACATTTTTTTCAACCCACCCCCTTTAAAAGAAAAGAAAAACAAAGTGGAGTGCCTAATGCAGGTGGTTGGAGAGATGGTTTAATGGTTAAGAGCACTGGCTGTGTTTCCAAAGGACCTGTGTTCAGTTCCCAGTACCCACATAGCAGCTAACAACTAACTGCCCATAACTCCAGTTCCAGGGGGATCCCGCACCCTCTTCTAGCCTTCATGACCTTTGCACAACATGGTATACTTACATACACACAGGCAAAACACTTATACACATAAAGTAAATATAATTTTTTGGGGGGGAGCTTTTTTTGTTTTGTTTGTTTTGGGGGGACACGGTCTCCCTGTAGCCACAGCTGTCCTGGAACTCACTGTGTAGACCAGGCTGGCCTTGAACTCACAGAGATCTGCCTGCCTCTGCCTCTCGAGTGCTGGGATTAAAGGAGTGTGAACCTTTAACTTTTTGGTTGTTAGTCTTAGCCTTTAACAACTGCGCTATCCCTCCAGCCCAATATTTTTTAATTAAAAAAAAAAAAAAAACAGGCATGTTGACATACGCTTTAAAATCCCAGCACTCAAGAGACAGAGGCAAGCCCATGTCTGTGAGATCAAGGCCAGCCTGATCTACACAGAGAATTCCAGGCCATCTAGGGCTACAAAGAGACCTTGTCTCAAAATAATAATAATAATCACAATAATAATTCTGTGAGGCTGGAGAGATGGCTCAGTGGTTAAGAGCATCGGCTGTTCTTGCAGAGGACCTGGGTTTGTTTCCTAGCACCCATATAGCAGCTAACAAACCTCTGTAATTCCAGTTCCAGGGGATCCAATGCCCTTGTGTAGTCTCTGTGGGCATTATGTAACATGGATGCACTTACATACGTGCAAGCAAGACACACACATAGAAAAAAAAATTTGTGTGTGTCTGTGCATAGAGATGTATACATGAACATTTTGTGGCATGTTTGGAAGTTGTAGGACACCTTCAGGAGTCAGTTCCCTTCTACCATGTGGGTCCTAAGAATCAAACTCAGGTCATCAGACTTGATGACAAACTCCTTTTCCTGCTCAACCATTTTGCCTGGCCTTGCTTCTTTGCAAGCCAGGTTTTTCGAAATAAGCTTTTCATCTAAATGTCGGATATTCTTTTATTCCTGGCTCTTTATCCCCCCCCCTTTTTTTTTTCTTCCGTCATTACAGGTCATTGTTGTCTGGGTAGGAACAAACAACCATGAAAATACAGCAGAAGAAGTAGCAGGTGGAATTGAGGCCATTGTACAACTTATAAACACAAGGCAGCCACAGGCCAAAATCATTGTACTGGTAAGTAGTCTCTGGTGGGTGGAAATTTTTGTGTTTTTAGATCCACTGGGTGTCTTTTTAGAAATGGGCTCACTCTGAGTATAGATACCCTTTATAGAAAATGCAAGCAGTTTCTGATAGTTCTGTTTGAGGCTGGTATGATTAGCAGGAAAGGTCCTGTAGGAATTTGTATGCTGTTACTAGGTAGTATGGATTTTATTTTTATTTTCTTATTTTGTGTGTGGGAGCACAAGTTTGGGGTACATACACACCTTGACCCAGGTGTGGAGGAGAAACCTGTAGGAGTAGTTGGTTATCATCTTCTGCCATGTGAGTCCCGTGGATTTGAGTTCAGGTTGCCAGGCTTAATGGCAAGTGCCTTACCCTCTGAGTCATCTCACTAGCTGCCAATCTTATTTTTTATTTCATGGCATTTGAGTTATGGATGGAGTTGTTGTACCCTATGCCTTTTTCCAGAATAGATTAAAAGTTTCCCTCTGAAATATGACTGGTTGATTGCTTGGGAAATATTATTGTATGATTGGTGCAGGATAAATCCTTTGTGAATAGTCTCTGTTTTAAGCAGATATTTAAGTTTGATATAAATGAGCTGAGGATATATAGTTGGTGATAAGGTATTTACCTAGTAGATGTGAGGGTTTGATCCCCAGCACTGTAAAAAATAAAATACACAAATTTGATAGATGTATTGATTATCATGTTATCAATAGTTCTAAAAATTAGAAGTAACGTAAATGATCAGTCTGATAGGGGAGTGATTACAGAGTCTTAATGTATTAGCACAAATCACATTACAGCTGTGAATGCGATATGAAAACAGGCTATGATGTAGTGAAGTGAAAGAAGCTATGTGTATTGTATTTAGAATTATATATATGTAGTTGGAAAAGGGCTAAGAGAAACAAAACAATTGTCAGAAGGTTAAAGGGATTCATTTGTCTCTCTGTGTATGCTATATATATGTGTCCATGTATAAGTGTGGGTGTGTGCATACCATGGTGAGCATGTAAAGGTCAGAAGCAACCTCAAATGTTGGCTTTGCTTTCTGCCTTATTTGAGAAAACGTGTCTTGTTCACCACTGTGTATACCAGGCAGGCTGGTTCCAAAAGTTCTGTCTCTGCTTCCCGTCTTGCCATAGGCTTACTAGGGTTACAGATGCCACTACTGTGTAGCTTTTCAGGATTTGGGGGATCTGATCTCAGGTCCTCACAGCAAGTGCTTTACCCACTGAGTCATATTCCCCAGCCAGCAATGTTTGTTTTTTTTTTGTTGTTTTTTTTTTTGGTCTTTTTGAGACAGGGTCTCCCTGTAGCCCCAGCTGTCCTGGAACTCACTATGTAGACCAGACTGGCCTTGAACTCACAGAGATCTGCCTGCCTCTGCCTCCTGAGTGCTGGGATTAAAGGCATGCACCACCACACCCGGCATGTTTCTTTAACCTCATATTTTAGCAGCTGTTGAAAATCAGTTTTTAACAACTGCATGGCAACTAACACCCATTCTTAACTCTAGTTCTGAAGGATCTAATGCCCTCTGCTCGCCTCTACCGGCACCAAACACACACATGGTATACTTATATACTTGCAAGCCAAATACTTATACATATAAAATAAAAACATTTTATTTAAATTAAAAAAAAATCACAGGAAGCTGGACATGCTTAATTCCAGCACTCAGGAGGCAGAGGCCAGCCTGGACTACATCGCCAGTTTCAGATGAACCAGGGCTTCATAGTGAGATCTGTCTCAAAAAGAGCATTTGTGGGGGTAGTCAAACAGCATGCCCTTGGTTATTTGCATTAAGGAAAAATACTATGAAAATAAACTTTTTCTCATCTTTTTACATTTATTTTGTATATATGTGTGTATGTATATAAATGCATCCCATGATAAGCAGGTGGAGGTCAAAGGACAGCTTGTGGGAGGTAGTTTTCTCCTTCCACCATGTAGGTTCCAGGGATTGAACTTACATTGTTGGGCTTGGTGGCAAGTATCTTTACCTGCTCAGGCATCTTGCCAGCCCTGTTTTTCTCATTTTTTCTTTAAAAAATCCATATATATGTGTCTAAAAATAGTAAGTAAATTTTTTTTGTTTTTTGTTTTTTTTCCGAAAGGGGGCTAGCTGGGCATGATGGCCCACTCCTTTAATCCCAGGGAGGCAGAGGCAGGTGGATCTCTGTGAGTTTAAGGCCAGCCTCCTCTACATAGCGAGCTCCAGGCCAGCTGAGGCTATAGGGAGACTGTCTCAAAAAAAAAGTGGGGGCGGGGTGGAGGTGGAGCGATGTCTCAGTGGTTAAGAGCACTGACTGCTTTTGTAGAGGATCCAGGTTTGATTCGTAGCACCCACAAAGTGGCTATAAACCATCCTTAACTCCAGTTAGAGGGGAATCCAATAGCCTCTTCAATACCCTCTTCTGACCTCTGTAGCATTGCATGACATGGTACACTCACATGCATATAGGCAATACACTCATACACCTAAAATATAAATAAAAATTTTTTTAAATTTTTATTTTCATTATATGTATATGAGTGCTTTGCCTGTGTGTATTTAAGTGCACCCATGTATGCAATGCCGATAGAGGTCAAAAGAGGATGTTGGATTCCTGGATGATTGTTAACCACCTTGTGCATGCTGGGAACTGAACCCAGGCTCTCTGTAAGAGCAGCTAGTGCTCTAACTGCTGAGCCATCTCTCTAGCCCCCAAGGGTTACACTGTTAACAGTAATATAAGCAAGGGTGTAGAATTGACCTAATTATTTAAAATATTTGAGCACAAGAGGAATAGGAAATGGACCAGGGTAATAAAGTTAGAATTCTCCATGATTTTTTGGAACTATAAAATCATACAGTAAATTGATAATCAAGGCCCCACGTTTTGCTGAAAGAACTAGAGTAGACATGACCAAGAATGTACTCTGAATATATGTTGAAAAATGTAGTAAGGACCAGGACTGTAGCTGAGTAGTAGAGCACTTGCTTTGCATGCATGAGGCCCTATGTTCAGTCCTCCACACTGCCAATAAATAAATTAATTAATTAAATAAATAGATGTAAGTAAATAAAGTAAATCTGTTTTTTTTCCCAAAGATTTATTTTCAGTTATGTGTATGTTATGTCTCTGTGATGATATGTGCCCATGCGTGCCCATGCCCATAGAGTCTAGAAGAGGGTGTTGGATCCCCTGGAGCTGGAGTTAGAGGCAGTTATAAGCCAATGTGGGTCTGGGAACTGAACTCTGGTCCTCTGCAAGAGCAACAAGAGGGCTTAACTGCTGAGCCATTTTTCTAGCCCCAGTAAATCTGCTTTTGGGAAAATACTTATGTACTTTGTAGGAGAAAGTGGGGAGGGGACAAACTTTTTACCTGAAGAGCAGTATGTTGTCTTGTGGTATTCTTAGTGCCAGCTAACTACAGGAATGGGACTGTCTGGCAGTACTTTTGGAGTGGGGTCAGTTGTCTGTAAAGACTACTTCTAATGTGGATTAATAAAATCTTACCATGCAGGCTTTTCTCTTCTTCACTATAGTAGGAAGAAGACAGACACTCGATTTATCTGAAAATTATATTAGATCATTGATATATAAGTTAAAATGAATTTAGGTTACTTTTATCTTACCAGATATGCAATTCATTAATATAATTCGTATGATTCATTAAGACAGCATTGATTCCAGTTCTCCTTTTTTATAACATATTGTGGTATAGCTTCCTCTGGCATTAATAGATAGGTGTGTCTGAGCTGCATTATTCTGACCTATGGAGAAGGAATTGAAGGGGGGATAACACTGGAGCTTTGAAGAACAGTAGGTATAAATGAGATGTGGTAAGTTCCTTAGAGTAATGTATATTATCATGATTAAGAAGAAGATTGAGGCTGGAGATATGACTCAGTTGATAGAGTGTTTGCCTGACAGGCACAAAGCCCTGGATTCTATCCCCAGTACTGTAGAAACCAGACATGGTGGCACATGCCTGTAATCCTCAGCTACATAATGAATTCACAACCAGTGTTCAGTTAGCTTTCTGTTGCTGTGATTAAAAACACTGACCAAAAAGCAGGACTTGGTGGCAGATGTCTCTGAGTTCAAGGCCAGTGTAGTCTACGTAGTGAGTTCCAGCCAGCTTGGGGCTATAAGGAGATTCTGTCTCAAAAAGACGGAAAAAAAAAAACAAAAAAAAAAACAAACCAAAAAAAACCTGATCAAAAGATCAAAAACCAACTTGAGGAGGAAAGAGTTATTTCACTTACAGCACAGTTCATCCTAGAGGGGAGCCAGGGTATGAGCTCAGGGCAAGAACCTGGAAGCACATGGAAGGTATGCTGTTTACTGGCTTGCTCCTCTGGCCTGTGCGCAGTCTCTTTTCTTATACAACACAGGACCGGCTCAGGGTGGCGCCGCCCACGGTCTCTCATCACACCACCTCATTTATCACGGACTCTCTTTGTGTTTACATTCAAAATATTTCTTTAATCAATCTTTTTTCAGACAGAATCGCATGACTCAGAATGTTGGAATTAGAATTCAAAGAGAGTACAGTTTTAGGGAGGTGATGATAGATTGTTTTTGGATATGTGGAGAGGACCTTAGGAGCAGGTTCTGTAGCTGGAAGATCAGTGTATTCTGAAGCTCTAGAAAGAGATCTTGGCCAGTTGTTGAGAGTGGAAAGGGTATGGGCCAAAGACAAGTCCCTGAAGAATGGTAGCAGTCAGGAATGAGGAAGAGGAAGACATGTAGAACCCTAGAAAAATAGGTCAGCTTACAATAAAACTAACACAGGCCAGTATTTTAGAAGACAAAGGTGTATAAATGCCAAATGGAACAAGTATTCCAGGAATATCTGCAATCACAAGTAAATAGAGAAAAGCAAGTGAATCTTCTCATTTAATATTCTCTGCTCTACCCCAGGGTCTACTACCTCGAGGTGAAAAGCCCAACCCTTTAAGACAAAAGAATGCCAAGGTGAACCAACTTCTCAAGGTTTCCCTGCCAAAGCTTGCCAATGTGCAGCTCTTGGATACAGATGGGGGCTTCGTGCACTCGGACGGTGCCATCTCCTGCCACGACATGTTTGATTTTCTTCATCTCACAGGAGGGGGCTACGCAAAGATCTGCAAACCCCTCCATGAACTGATCATGCAGTTGCTGGAGGAAACACCTGAGGAGAAGCAGACCACCATTGCCTGACTGGCTCCCACCAGTGTTCATAGAATCCCAGCTTCCTCAGATCAGTTATACCACTGGCACTACAGAATCCTCTTTCTTAAAGGCACTTTGCATTGTAGAATGTTCCTGGATGCTCATATCTAGTGTTTGAAGGGGAGGAGGGATTTAAACTGGTCGTGTGTGTGTGTGTGTGTCTGTGTGTGTGTGTGTGTGTGTGTGTGTATGTATGTATACATATATATATATGTGTGTGTGTATATGAAGGCTTGTTTGACACAGGAGAAAAATTAGCCAAGGAAGATTGTTGTTGAATTCATTTGAAACCAGAAGGGGACTTTTTAGTTGTATATGACACATTTGTTTTTATCACTGTTTTCCTAGGAGAGCATCAAGCCCATGTACAATATGAAGATTTCTCTTCTTGGCCCTTTTTTCTATGGATTATGTCATATATGATAATTATTCACACCTACTTGGCTTTAAAACTTACTTTTGGTTCAGTTTTTAAGGTCCATGATTTAGTGTGTTGTTTTACTTTGTTTAACTCATGTATCCTTGGTATTTTATTAACATAGAGCATCAGATTAAACATGCTTGTCACTCAGATGCAGGAGATGCTATAGTTACAAATGAATTTGTTCCTTTCAGTTCTTCCTATGCTTAACAATGAAAAACAGGTTTTGTCCCCTCTGGAGACTCTTGGAGGGTATTATTTTTATGCTGCTGAGTATCATACCTGTAATAGGCCTATGCATGCAGCTTTTCCTCTGCTCTCCCCTCATCTCTGAGCACTGGGGGTGGGGGCAGATTATTTACATTATAAGCTTTTAATTCATTTTTATCTAAGAGTTCTGTTGCTGGAAGTCCCCAAGCAGTTGCTGTGGCAATGGTGTTACTGATGTGTAAGTCATTCCGTGTGGTGTTCTGTGCTGTGGAGTCGATATAGTTTTTTTCATCCAAAGTTCTGCTTTGCCTTTTGGGTTTTTTGGTTTTTTTTTTTTTTTCCAATAAAATCTGTCACAGTTTCCTTTGGTTTGTAGCGGGGGCAAAATCAGAATTGTTTCCCATTCCATATGGCCTGATGTTATTTCAAGCTTTGTATTAAGGTGTATATTTTTTGTTTTCATTTTATATATATAAATATATAGTAGTCCTGGGAATCAAACCCAGGGCCTAGCACATACTAAGCAAGTGCTCTGCCACAGACCTAACTCCTGTGTCTCCCCTCCTCTTTTATTGGCTTAATTCTTAAATTCTATTAAAAAAAAATTGTCTTTTTTCCATGGGGAAACAGTGATGCTGCTCTCAGAGTAGACATGCTGCCTTTATCCCACCATTTTAGTTCATTTAACTTTTCACGTTTCTTATTGTGTGTTCATCAGATTTTCAAGAGAGATCTCCTAATCTTAATGGTGTGCTTGAGCTACATGAACTGCCATTTGAAAGAATAATTGAACAGTAGATGGTTTATTGTCCAGTATGCCTATGAACTCTGTATGAACTGGGTCTACAAACATTTTGAACTGGACCAGATAGCATATTTCAGTAACCCATCAAATGTACTCTGTCATGATTCTGCTTAGTATTCACATTCAGTAGCTAAGATTAGGCTTTATATCCTACTTGCAAAGCAAATATCAGGGTTGTTTGGAGGAGTTGCTGTTTTGTGCTGAGACCCACTCCTGACTGAGAAGGATAGAAGGTGTGGTGGGTTTTGTTTGTTTCCTATTGAGCCTCTTTCTAGAAATTTATTTTATTTTATGGCATAGTCTTGTGAATGTATCATGTCTTCATTAGCAAAAGGAAATACACATGGTGTTTACTAAACTTGTTTACTACGTTAAAATTTTCATTTTAGTAACCCAAGTAATTGAGGTTTTCAAGACAGATTGCTTTTTGAACTGAGGTATAATTTACAAAGGATATCTAATTAAGCCAGAATTTCTGGTGTAAAAAGATAGCTTTCTATTCAGTTTTTTTGTGTTTCTCAGAGAGTGGGAATGTGGTTCAACTGAATCTATTAGGTCATTCCTGCAGCATGTACTTCTAGCTTCTCTCTTGACCAAGGATGACAGTCCTCTGTGAGTTGGCTTTCAGCTCCTGCTTATGTGTATAAACCTCAGATGTTACTACATTTTATATTTGCCAGAGCTATTCAAGCAATAGTATTTGAATCACTAGCCTTTTAAATAAAATTCTGCCATATTGCTAATGTGCAGACACTGAGTCCACTGTCATTTCTTGCCAGATTTCTTCGTGCTGTTTTAGGCAAAAAAAACAGTTAATCTATTTTTCTTCAGTTGACATCCCAGATTTCTTCAGTGGCAGAACCCATTAGTCTTTCTGGGTTTTTAAATATATGAATTAAATGCAGTGTCCACATGAAATGTCCTAGTCTGACATTATGGTTTAGGGGCCAGGCAGCTAGCACAGATAATGCTTTGTTCCTTTTTTGGTGGTGGTGGTAAACAGGTTGTTTTTTGAGACAGGACCTGTATGTAGCCCTTGCTGGCCTTGAACTTTGGTGATCCTTCTGCCTCTTGTGTCCTAAGTACTGCAATTCCAGGCCTATTCCACCATGCCAGGTCTGTTCATTTCCTTTCCTAGCAATTTTTCCTCTGAGAACATGATCTCATGTAGCATAGGCTGGCCTCCAACTTAATATGTAGGCGTAGATATCCTTTATTCTCCTGCCTCTACTTTCCAAGTGCTAAGAATTAGGCATGGCCCACCACACTCAGCTTTTTCCAGTAAATTTTAACCTCTTTGTCCATCTAGTCCTACTATGTGGTAGCCAGTGATGGGACTGGAAAGATGTCTGGGGTTATGTCTCCAGTGTAGTGGGTTGGAGATGTGCTTGCTGGCAAGGGGTGGTCTGCTACAGGTGGCTTGCTGCCCTTGCATTGTAGATTGCCATTGGTGGTACTCTGGCTTCCACTTCAGGTCTCAATGGACTGTTGAAGACTTTTACCCAAACCTGAATCTTCTGTCAAAAACCTTCATCCAGAAAAATTAAGTCTTGAGTAGCTCATGCCCTGTTCTTAAGAATTCTCACATTGTTAAAAAAAAAAAAGTTCCCACTTTCTGTCTTTATTTTTTTAACCTAGTCACTGTTTACAGTTGTATGCTGAAGACTCAAATACTGTCTATGCTGTGGTGTATGAATGTTGCCAATTCTATATTTATTGCAGTGAAGAAGAAATTGAAATGAAAAGGAGGTGCTTGGCCAGCTCTTGCATCTGTGGGGGTAGCAGTAGAGGCCTCTTGAAAGGAGGCTCCCTTGTGGTAGTCCTCTCCAGGATCACCGCTGTAGGCTGACTGAATCTCCCCCAGGGGAGCTTCGACTCTGGTTTGGCAAAAGTTCCTTGACCAGTAGAATTCATACTGTTTATTGCTTATTTCAATATAAATATCAGCATTTCACCGAAAACTTGTTGATGTCTTTCTGTCTCTTATCGTAGTTTGGATTCCAGTGGGGAATAAAAATGCAGGGGTAGTTTTTCCTGTCTGATAAACAAGTTGGAGTCTCTGCTCATCTTCTGTTCTGTGGAGCTGGAGGTAATGAACTGTCATCACTCATCTTCTCACAGGGTAGGATAGTAGGATGGGGTGAGGAGTTACAAGGAATCCTGAGTAGATATGAGACAACTGTCAGATGAAATGTTTCAGGTTGATCTGTACTGTGTGGAGGTTATAAGTAACTTTAAATTGACCTCTACTCTGATCCTCATTTCAGTGTTGAGAATTTATTCACAAAATGTCTTTTGTGGCACTGGTTCTCCATTCTTTACACTAACAATGGACCTTTTTTTTTTTTTTTTCAGTTTTTTTTGTAGTTTTTTTTATTTACTATGGTCTCTTTTTCTTTTTTAAATTTTTGACAGGAGACCCTGTTTTTTGAGTGTGTGTGTGTGAGTGTGTGTGTGTGTGTGTGTGTGTGTGTGTGTACACCCCATATCTATGCCTGATGACCAGGGAGGCTAGAAGAGGGTGGCTGATCCCCCTAGAACTGGAGTTACAGAGTGTTCTTTATTACTTAGGCTATACCTGCAACTGTTGCCTCCAGCTTTGGACAATTGCTTTCTGAGTTCTGAGCCTTCTAGGTAGAAATGCTTCAAGATGATACCTTCCTGCAACAGGTGTTTTGTGTCGATATGTAGTCCCATCTTACTACTGGCTAAGAAGCCCCAGAAATTGAGTATTCTATCTTTTCCAAGGTTATAACTTAGTTCATCCAACACTTGAACACAGCCTTGCCTCACTTCAGAGTGCTTGCCTTGCAACCATTCATTGCTCTAGGTTTTGATGTACTTGAGTTCATGACAGATATAGTTGCCTTTCAGTTGAAGGTTCTAGGAATGAGCAGTCTTCTCACCTGAAGAAAGGTGACAGCTGCTTTATTCTTTCTTCAGCTACTATGCTTGCCAATTCTGTCTTCTATGTGACCGTTTACTTAAGTTTGACTTATTTATTAAAGTGCACAGTCTGACCATCTGACTTCCCACCTCAAACCAGCAATAAAATTAAAATGTTATAGAACAAGACTTTTTGGTGGTATACCTAAGGGGTGCAAAGACTCTCCAGCTTCTTTGTTACCCTGTCAATAAATTCCAATTGAGAGGAGGGTACAATTTGGAAAAGGGAATTTATTTTATATTTTATTATTTTATGTGTATGAGTGTATTGTGTGCACGTATGTAAGTGCATCTGTGTCATACAGTGCCCACAGAGGTCAGGAGGAGGCATTGGATCCCCTTGAACTGGGTGGTTGTTAGCCTCCATGTGGGTGCTGGGAATTGAACCTTGGTCCTCTGCAAGAACAGCCAGTGTTCTTTACCACTGAGCCATCTCTCCAGCCCTAGAAAAATGAATCTAAAATGACTGTGTAGGTTTAAGTATAATCAAAACATAACTTACTCTATATCTAACCCTTACATCCAAAAAAAGTTATTACTATTATTATACATAGGGTCCCATGTAGCCCAAGCTGGCCTCCAGCTAAAGTCTGTGTAGCTAAAGTCATTCTGCTTCTACCTCCCAAGTGCTGGGGTTACAGGTGTTCACCACCAGGCCAGCTAGCCAGAAAGATGACCGCTTTTTTCTTTTTCTTTTTTTTGGACAAGGCCCCACTATGCAGCTCTGGCTGACCTGGAACTCACTATTATGTATACCAGACTGGTCTTGAACTCAGTGAGGTCTGCCTCTGCCTCCTGAGTGTTGGGATTAAAGGTGTGTGCCACCACACCCAGCCCCAGAAAGATAACTCCGTTGACAGGCGTTTCCAGCTTCCGGTGTTACGGGGGAGGGGACCATGACTGCAGGTGAAAATGTTTGTGGGTGACCTTCAGAAAGTGTGACTACCTTTCTTGAAGTCCATCTTAATCATAAGGTTGGAATAGTTTTGCAGATGATTCAGTCTGGTTTTATGTTGTGGGCTGCCTTATCAAAACTAGATGAGTGTCACCCATACCAGTGTGACACAAAGTGATGTCAGTACAGGACATGAACCTTGAACATGGCGTCATTTATCACCCTCACTTCCCTGATCTGAAACAGCATGTTTGAAGTATTCTGTGGAGCTATGAGACTGGACCAAGGTGCTTACCCTGATGACACACCAGACCAACAATTTCAGCTAGAGATACCAGCATCATAGCCTGCACCTATGCAGATTTCTGTGACTTCCTCACTGTCACAGTGATGCTTCTGGATTAAAATGGTTGATTTATACAGAATGATAAAATGCAGAAACACCATATTGAGGTAGCCACATTCTTTTCTCCACATCTATTGCCAGGATCCTCCCTACTCATGCACATTATGGAGGCCTTGCCTTTCTCAGAATTTACAGGATTCCCTTAGATTATTTTGAGATAAAGTCTTCCTATGCTGTGCAGGCAGGCCTTGAACTTGTAATCCTACCTCAGTCTCCCAACTAGTTGGGATTACAGGCCTGGGCCACTAGGTTCAGCTTGGTCACATTTTACATAGCCTTTCTGAAGCAAAGGTCTTTAGTGTTCTGCTGAATGGTCTGTTTTTGATACTGCTCTGATCTGCTAGGCCTCTTGCTTTTTACTTATTTGCTGGTACGTTTAAACTTAATTCCAAAAGCGTCTACCATCTGAGAAAAAAAAATTTGGTCTTTTTGATACAGGGTCTCCCTATAGCCCCAGCTGTCCTGGAACTCACTATGTAGACCAGGCTGGCCTTGAACCCACAGAGATCTGCCTACCTCTGCCTCCCTAGTGCTGGGATTAAAGGCGTGTGCCACCACGCCCAGCTATCCTTTTTTTTTAAGGATAGGATCTTGCTGTGTAGCCCTGGCTGGATTCAAACTCCTCTTCCTGCCTCAGCCTTCTGAGTGCTGGGATTGCAGACATACACCACCATGCCTGGTTTACACAAGTTGTCCACACTGAGCAAGCTTTGCAAGCACACTTGGAAAGAAATTGTAGCATAGCTCACTGTGCATGCTTATTGACAACTACTGGCTTAGAGGGTCAAGACCAAGCCCCTCTGCGATTTTTATTTTCATTTTATGTGTATGAGTATGTTGCCTGCATGTGTTTACATGTACTCGTGTTGTGCAGTGCCCCTGGAGGTCACAAGAGGGTGTTGGATCCCCTGGAACTGGAGTTACAGTTGTTAGCTGTCATGTAAATGCTGAGAATCGAACCCAGGTCCTCTGTAAGAGCAGCCAGTGTTCTTAACCACTGAGCCATCTCTCTAGCCCCCACCCCGCCCCTCTGCAATTCTTGTTTAGTCTTTTACTTTGAACTTTAATGTCACACCATGTAACTTTGAGGTGTATGCCTTTTCTTCTAAGTGAAACTGCTGTCCAACATAAATTCCTGCCCCCTAGCTGGGCTGGCTCATCTTTTACCCACCAAGAACACCTGCTAATGTCTCCTATTTTTAGCTCTGGTTGGTGTTCGGTCTCATGTCTGTATGATCCCGTCTGTAAACTTAAACATTTTTTTTACTACCGTGTGTGTGTGTGTGTGTGTGTGTGTACCACTGCACATGTATGGCAGTCCAGGGACAACCTGTGGGAATTGATTCTTTTCATCCACTGTGTGGGGTCCTGGGCGTGGATTCAGGTCCTCAGGCTCAGCAGCAAGAGCCTTTGTTCACTGAGCCATCTCACCAGCCCCACATAAATACAGAGTATGCTCTAAGTCTGTGTTCCTAGCACAGTGTAGTGACAAGTATAAGCCAGGCACTGAAAACAAAAGAATGAGAAAATGAGTGGGAGTTCGTTCATGGTCATCTGACCAGTAACTCAGACTTGAGAAAAGGAATGCAAATCTTGCACTTTAATGTCCTCTTTTCTTAATGATACCATGCTGTTTCTGTGAAACAATAGAGATTAATTTTGCTAGTGATAAATATGGGGGGAATTGAAATAAAGGTCATTTAGGAACAGAAGCAAGGGGGCCATTGAGATGGCTCAGTGGGTAAAGGCACTTGCCACCAAACCTGATGACCTGAGTTTGTTCCCCAGGACCCACACAGTGGAAAGACAGAGCCAAGTCCCATGCAGGTTGTCCTATGACCTCTAGGTAAGCCATGAAACAAAATGTGCCGCCCCATGCACACAAATACAGTGGGAAAGAACAGAAGCAGAAGCCAGGCATGATGGCTCATGTAATCTCAATTCTCAAGAATCTGAGGCAAGAGGATTGCCATGAAGTCAGTCTGGATTATATAGTGAGTTCTAGGCCAGCCTGGGCTACCAAGAACTACCTTGTTGAAAAAAAATGGAGTGTGGTGGTGGTGCAAGCCTGTAATTGCAGCACTTAGAAGTATTTTAAGAAAGGTGGATGTAGAAGAGGTGTTAGACCTGTTCAGAGGTGTAATAGGAAGGTGTGAGATGTGAACTGGTGAGTAAAGGAGGGGACGTCCTTTTCCATTATAGAGAACAACTTGGACTGGGGCTCTAGAGTTGTCTGTAATCTTTCCATGTACCACATACGGGCAAA